CCTGTCTTATTTCTTCTTTCAAGTGGGAACCAGCAAGTGGAACAGCTCTCTCTGAAATACACAGGCTTCCCCCCATGGATAGTGGTTTTACATAGTACCTGTTCTGTACTGTTAGACTACTTGATTAGGATTTGGCCCTTGTTTTAATCTTTTTTTGCTCTCAAATAGGGAACCTAGTCACATTTAGGCACATTTAATGTTACACTTAAAAGCTTCAGGTTTATCAATAAACAGAGGTAACTGATCCTCAACAATCTGGGGTTCTAAAATTTTTAATTCATTTACTTGATGAAATGTACTCATTACCCCAAAGACTTGCAAGACTCATGTGATCATTTACAAAGTATGTGCAAAATGTAAGGCAGATTGAGAAGCCTCATGGCCCATGTGTCCATGGAAAGTCAAAGGAGAAAATGTTATTGTTCCATCTGTCATATTGGAAAGCGTCTTTTCTGTCATCTCTGAAATGGACCTCTTTTGGAAGTGTCTTTTCTGTTCTCTCTGAAGTGGCACCCTTTTGGTGATACTGTTTTTATTAATGATTTTTCAGATTAAGACAGCTCTCAAATATACTGCTTAAGTTCTGTCTTCTGTTCCTAAGCACAGGACACTGTTGATTTACAGAAGAACCCTAGAAGGGCTGAGGAGATAGGTTTGGGGTCAAAGTGCGTGGCTGGCAAGCACATGGACCCAGGTTTGATCCCCAGTACCACATGCTATGCTAGCTCCGGAACCGGTTGTGGCAGTGCACACATATGTAACTCCAGCACTGGGGAACCTGAGACAGGAGAATGACTATGAGTCCTAGCTGTTTAGTGAGACCCTGTGCTAAATAAATAAATAAACAAACAAATAAATAACTATAGAAGATTCATGTGCTTAATTGAGTCTTGGTTTATGTGATTCTTCCTCCTGATATCAGTGTTAATAAGTCAATAATCCAAAATAAGAAATGACTTCCTTATTGCCATGTGAAACTCCTCTGGAAGTTGTGAGGAAATATTTTTAGTGTTTAACAAGGTGATAGTAAGATGTTAAAGCAGCTAAATTAGAGTGTTCATGAGATTGCGAATGTGTGAAATGCATAGTACATGTCATTTTCATGATCAGCAACCATATACTTTAAAATTGTGTTAGTCCAAGTCATAAAAATCTTTAGGCCTTCCCAGGTGGTGTAATATCACAAATAGGTTTAGCATTCAACTAAATCTCTGTACAAAGGTTTTGATATACAATGTCTTTAAATAAGTATATACCTATATAAAAACATGATAATGTGACAGAAGCCCCCAGGAACCTAACTCTGACATCTCCTTTGGAAAATTATCCAGTATTCTCTAGTTCAGCATTTATTGTCATTTTTCATGCATAATTATTATAAAGCACCAAAACTGAATTTATCTGTTTTGTAATAATAGATATTTCAATTTAGGTGATGACTTGTCTTCCCTTTCTGCACAAGCATCACCTCAGCATCCCAAAATTCACACATGCCTGCTCATGGTGTGTCACATACATAGCCCTGAGTTTCTCTGGGCACTAGACCCCTGCAGGGAAGACTGTGTTCATGGCCACACCCTCATCTGGGAAGAACAAGCCACAAGCCTGTTATCTGAGGCAGAATAACAATAAGCATTGTGTTGTCCTCCCCAGTACAGTCCATTTGTGCCCACTGTGATCGATGGAGTGCTGCTACCTAAGGCACCTGAAGAGATTTTGGCTGAAAAGAACTTCAATACTGTCCCCTACATCGTAGGGTTCAACAAGCAAGAATTTGGCTGGATCATACCATTGGTGAGTATGTGCAGGCCCTTTAGACAGAAGCATACCCTCCACACACTCAGCCCTTACCGGGGTGGTGCACCCCTAACAAACTCTTTCTAAAAGAAGTTTTGATTATCTTCCCATTAGATAATTTTGAAATGTCCTTGTTAGAGCATTCTGCAAAGGTAAGCACTGTGTAGTTAGACAAAATGGAGGAATCTCAGAAAAGTGAGGAATTTAGAGAGTCCAGGAGATTATATCTGGTCTGCAATGACTTCCATGTGGACCTATATTATTGTTTTCATAGTTCTCCACCTGAGGACTCAGGTATATAATACTATTTAAGATATGTTTATCTCCTTAAATGCAAGAATATATGTCATTTCTCTATCAATTATAAGCAAAACTATGTACAAGTTAAAATACTGGGACAGCTTTTATTCAGTAGTTTTATTGCAATAGAGAAAAGTCCAGACATATCCTGGCCTCAACTCCCTAACATCAAAGCTTGGAGATGCTTAAGGCTGGATGAGCACAGGAAGGCATGTAGGTATGAGAGGGGCATCTACGTGACCAAACCACTGGATTTATTTCCCCATGCTCATCTGTAAGATAAACAGAATTATCTTCATGCCAGGAAAAGAGATGTAAGTTAAAACAATGCCCCCAAAGAAGTTAGACCTTCATTTTCGCATTGGGACTGTCAGAGGGATCAAGAGTTATCTGCCAAGGTGTTTATATATTTGAAAGATATGTCAAAATATGTCCCGAACCAGTGGGTCAGTCAACCAAGTTCAACTGGGGGAGGAGCGGGGAATTGAAGAAGGGACAAAGGACAGGAGACGCGAGGAATGAAGGCAACACAAAGATTCTGATCAAGCCTCGTTTATTTAGGGGAGGTTCTGGGTATATATAGGGGGTGATGGAATGAGGAAGTCTCGGCTCTTGGGGTCTGCAGGTATCTAGGCAACGGGGAAGGTGCAACCCCTAGGGCATAGCACGTGATTCACAGGGAATGGGCAAGGTGAGAAGGGCCATAAACTTGACTCAGCAGGGGAATAGAATGGATACCGGTTAATGGCCTCCAACAAAAATATTTCCCCAAAATTAGCTGTCAGATATTTGAGGAAACTGTTTTGGGTCAAATTTATGTTTCAAAGGGAGGAAAAGAAAGGAGAATTGTAATCTTTCTAAAGTAACTGCTCTAAGGGAGCACTCATATTTTCTGCATATTATAGTACTGAGATTTCTCAAGCAGGCCAATTAAAAGACTTGGGGCCATATTAGGACAAGGTCTTAAGCTGGATGAAGCCAGGTAGGACATGGGTTGTATTTCTTAGTGCAGAGACTTGAATAGATGAGAGTTCTGCAATTTTCATTTCAGAAGAATCTCAGTCATTGCACCAAATTCATAATAGTGATTTTATTTTCTTCAGTCACTTGGGTCTGTGTGTTCTGGATATAACTTCATTGATTTCATAGATAATTTCACAGTCATAGAAGATCCAGGAAAATTAGGTCCCAGCACTGTAGCTTCATTTTGCAGTGGTTTGGTTTGCGTCCTGATATTTTATGATTACTCAGAAATGCTTAACCATTCTTTTAACAGTTTTTGGGTAATCCAATCCCTGAAGACAAGTTGGATGACAAGACAGCCACATCACTCTTATGGAAGTTGTATCCATTTGCTGTAAGCATGTGGGAAATTATGGGCATTAGTAGAACAAAAAATTAGGGTTGGAAAAGGGCTTGTCCAAAGTAACAGACCAATTCAATGGCTTAGAATCTGGAGTTTATCACATTTTTCTGCCTTTTCCACCTTTACTAAATAGGGAGGGTTTTTTTGTTTGTTTGTTTTTACAATATTTAAGACTTTCATTGTCTTAAGGTCTTATTGACTGGCTACAGAATCACTGTTGCTCACTATGTTGATGTATTTCAGAATGTTCCTGAGGAACTGACTCCAATGGCTATTGAGAAGTATTTAGGAGGGACAGATGACCTTGCCCAAAAGAGAGAGCTGTTCCTGGACTTATTGGGAGACTTCATGTTTGGTATCCCATCTGTAATTGTGGCCCGTGGCCACAGAGGTGAGTCTTAAAGACTGGGTAAGGGACAGACTCTGATATACCATCTTTGTTCTCTGGTCTGCCTACCTTTTACTCAGATGTGATGAAGTTTAGGGTTCAAGAATAAAAGGCTGATTTTTTTTTCGGTCTGAAGAGGGGCTTGTTTTATTGTTTGTGCCTGGATCACATGAATAAAAGTGTCCCAATAAAAATTGTTGGTTGTGAACTGATCTCATTATATACCAGTAAGTATAGAAAAGGAAATGACACAGGGAAAGTTGTAAGCCAAAAATAATGCCCAATCAAGCATTTGCCTATCATTCAAAAACAGAGCAAGGTCAATTTAAGGAGTAAGTGGAAGATATGTATCAGGGTTGCACTGTCTTAGTAGCAAAGAGTTGTGCATTCATGCATCAATATGCACATGTTAATAATTAAAGGCAATTCCAGGGCGTGATTAATTTTGTGAGATTGGATCTCCTTCAAACATGGGGCAAGTTTGTAAGTGGCCAGACAAAAGAGTGAGAAAAAAATTTATACCTGATGTCA